TAACTTACTCATAGATCACAAGATATATGGGAAGGAAATGTTAATATGATTCTTAATACGAGGAGAGAAGATGGAAATTTTTGGAAGCTCATAGAGAAATATCCCATCCATCCACGAGTTCTTGAAGTAATTAGGTTATCTGGATTATATGGTGTTTACAAATCTAATCGGCCTGCTATTGACCGTAGTTTGATCACTGCACTAGTTGAGCGTTGGCGTCCCGAAACTCACACTTTTCACTTTAGAACAGGCGAAGCAACAATTACCTTGCAGGACGTAGAGGTGTTGTATGGATTACCTGTGAATGGTGATCCAGTACTTGGTAATGAAATGATAAGGATATGAAACTATGGTATGCCTGTGAGGTGTTGTAATCCTAATTCACGTCCTCAAAATCAACAAGGTTATGTGCCTAATTCGACGGCATATGAAACTATGGTATGCCATTTATTGATTACTGTTGTTTAGTGTTGTTGCTGCCAAGTGATTTATGTGTCTTTATTGATTTTAGTGTGTCATTTATTTTGTTTAATGTATCATCAGATTAATGGTGCGTCATTAAATAACGTCCGCTTTAATTTATTTAGGTGCGGCATATTCATTCGATGGTTGATGAAGCTAAAACACTTGGTGATAATCCATCATATGAGGCCTTATACATGTTTAGAAAAATGGTGCGAGATCAAGGTTCTGATTGTTTGAAATATGTCCATGAGGCTGACAGGGTTCATGTGTCAGCCGATTATAGAAGAGATGTGGTACAACCTGTCCAGTTACATCACCCAGTTCGTAGGCGAGGAAAAGGTGGTGTTGCAGGTAGGAGAGAACGTGCTGTTGAAAGAGCACAAACACATGTTGAAATAGATCAGGCCACACAAAATGTCCAAGAAGCCTTAGAAGATGATCAAGCAACATCCAATTATAATATTGGTTCTATTTCAGGAGGTTGCACTCATGAAATCACTCAGGCATCAAATATGACATATCAACTGTCAGAAACAGATATCATGCCATACGTGACGCCACAGACTCTACAAATATCAAGTCATCCAAGTCTTTCATCACTTGACAATGTCATTGGTAATTTTGAGAATGTCCCAAATTTTAACTCATCGCCTGTGCCTCTGATCATTGAAACCTCTGATGCCACTAATAGTTTAGAGGACCCGAATCATGATGTGGACGATAATGATCCAAAGGATGCAAGTGAAGGCCGTGATACGACTATTCAAAATAGTGAACCATCAAGGAGGGAGAAGCGTAAAATTAAACTTAAGCCTTGTGGGACTGGTACTTTAACATCTGACATTTTTTATTTAGTTTTACTCTCTTTTAGAATAATATAACATTTATATTTTCTTTACAGGCGGTCACTATGCTATCCAACATGTCCAAAAACAGAGAGCCAAGAATAAGTAATGAAAATTGATGTTGCTGAAATCTTTTGGTGTTGTTGAAAATTGGAGCTGCTGATATATTGTATGTATCTATAGGTGAATTTGCAAAGTTGAATGATGGAGCCATTGATGAAGATATGGAGCTTTGATCTTGTGGCATGGAGGGGTTTCTTGTTTTCAGCATTGATACTTAACTTTTTGTTTGATCTGTGGTCCAGTTATGGCAATGACCTTCAATTTCATGGTTGCTGTTGGAATAATATTGGGAAACAAACTCGTATGGCTTTCGTTCCTACATTTTCCAACTTTTGATGGTTGCAATATATGTAACACCAAAAAAAACGAGTCTTTAACTGTTTTGACATGACCTGGTGAATGGTGAAATGCTTCCTTTTTCGTTTACTTTTCATATAATATCCAGTGACTCTGAGCTACAAATATGCTGAAGACCTAAG